TCCTGCCAGGGTTCCCTCTGGCCTGTCCAGTCCGGGTGGCCGCTGAGACCTTCCTGCTGAAGAGGGCGGCCAGGCTGGGACAGCAGGGCTGGCACGCAGAACCCTGCAGCACCAGGGCAGGGCTGCTACAGCCTGGGCACTGGACTGCGAGTCCCGCCTCCCCGGGGTTCACAGGGGTCCTGGCGGTGGCGGTGCCCAGCCGGCACTGGCTGGTGGGACCCTCGTGCAGCACGCGTCCCCCTCCCTGTTTTAAGATTAATAAGGAACAGTGTGGGTGTGTGTGTATATGTGTGAGGTTGTCAAGAAAGACACAGGACTGGAAGGTAGAGTGGCTGGAGGGGTTATTTGATTTATTTGAGAGAGAGAGAGAGAGAGAGAGAGCGCTCCCATGGTGTTCCACTCTCCAAATGCCCACAAAGACCGGCCGGGACAAAACCAAGCCGTATCTGGAAGCGAGGAACTCATCCAGGTCTCCCACTTGGGGTCAAGGATCCAAGGACTGGAGCCATCACTGGTTGTCTGTCACTGCGCATGAGCCGGCAGTCGGAATCAGGAGCGGGGACGGGATTGGAACCCAGGCACCCCGATCTGGGATGCCGGGGTCCCAAGGCTGGGTGGGCCAGGCGGCAGGGGACGGACTCCGCCACCCTCCGAGCCTGGGTCAGCCCGCATCCTGCTCCGCAGGGACGCTGCCCGCGCCTGAGCTCTCGGCCGAGCCCCCGAGTCTGCGCCCGGCGCCCGGCGCGCGTGTGAGGCTGCGGTGCCGGGGGCCCCGGGCCGGGCTGCGCTTTGCTCTGGTGCGCGAGGACACGGCCGGGCTCGAGGTGCGCCGTCTTCTGAGCCCGCCGGGCGCCGAGGCCAGCTTCGAGCTGCGCGCAGTCTCCGTGGTGGACTCAGCCAACTACAGCTGCGTCTACGTGGACCCGGCGCCGCCCTTCGCGGGCTCTGTAGCCAGCGAGCCCCTGGAGCTGCGCGTGGACGGTGAGCGCGCCTGGGAGCCTCCTTGTGCGAGAAGGGGGGCGCCCTCCTTTCCTTGGGGGCCACAGGGCGGCGCCACGGGCCTGGGTGCTGCGCCCATCGCCGTCTCCTGCGCAGTGGCTGAGGTTCCCGGGGACGCCTCAAACCTGGGACGAGAGGTCTGTTGGCCACGTGCACCCCGATTTCCCTGCCGGGAACACAGTGTCTGTCCCCCGATCCGTTCTTCCTTCCACCCTCGAGGCCCGAGGCCCCGAGTGCCCATCTGGGGACCCCCAGAAGCCTCCGGGCAGGTCTGGGCCTGGGGCTCCCGAGTCCTGGGGGAGACGCGGAGACGCAGTGCAGGGCCTTCGGGCGAGGTCGCAGGAGGAGACAGCAGGGGTCCCCCAGGAGACGCGTGTCCCGCGACGGGAGGAAGGCCCAGCACTGGTTCCGCGACGCAGGCAGTAGCCTGGGGCATCGCCTTTCTCACCGCCTGCTCTGCCCAGGACCCCTGCCCAGGCCGCAGCTCCGGCCCCTATGGAGTGGGGCGGTGACCCCGGGCCGCGACGCTGTCCTGCGCTGCGAGAGCTCCGTGCCCGGCGTCGCCTTCGAGCTGCTGCGCACCGGCGAGGAGGAGGCTGCGACAAGCGTCGGCGCCCATGGCCCCTCCGCGGACCTCGAGCTTCCCTACGTGGGGCCGCGACACGCCGGCAACTACAGCTGCCGCTACCGCGTGTGGGGGCCCGGCGGCTTCGTGTCGGAGCTCAGCGACCCGGTGGAGCTCCTGGTGGCCGGTGACGTTACCCCTCTGGCCTTTGCTTCTGTCGCCGCACCTGGGTCCCTGTGCTTAGCCCGGTGCGCGCGGGGGAACTGCAGCAGGCGACGGTGTGGCTTGGTCACCGGAGGACCTGCAGTGGGGTGGAGGTGGCGGTGGGGACCTGCTGGCAGCTTCCTTCCCGAGGGACCCCTGGGAGGTCGCACAGGCTCCCCTTCCCCTGTCATTTCTCTTTCGTCCAATTTGTCTAGGACGTTGATCCGGCTGTGGACTTGGAAAGCGCTGGGAACACTGGCCTGGTTCCATTCTTCCTGCTGCCGCCGCAGGCTGGGCTCTCCCTGGGGGCCGGAAGGCTGCCCTCCTGACTCCTGGGAGTTAATAAATAAAGCAGAGACTTTAACGCGTGTCTTTGAGTCCAGCGGGGCTGAGGGGAAGTGGGCTGGGATCCTGTGTGCTCAAAGTGAATGGGGTCTGAGCCGGAACTGAGGACAGAGGGGTCAAGGACTGGCTCCTGAGAGTCCTTAAGACACCCTTCTGCTGTTTCTCATCGAGCTGCCCCCTTACTCCTCTGCCAGGCCCGCAGCAGGTGCGGGCAGGTGGCTCAAGGCTCCAAACACACCCAGCTCTGCCTGGGCCTCACCGCCGTCTGCTGTGCGAGTTCAGGAGGCTGCCTCTGTGGTCCTGTCCCCCCAGTCTGAGCGCCCACAGGGCACTTCGGCATCAGAGCTGTGGACGTGACTGGATGCCTCACCCCTCTTCCCTGTGTTGCTCAGCTGTGAGACCCCTGTGTCCACCTGACAGCCTCATGGACGGCTGCCCAGTCCCTGCCTTGGACTTGCCCCTTTAGGTCCTGGCACACAGCAGTGCACATTAGTATTAGTGCTTTGTAAGTTGTGTTTTTCAAGAAATTGCCATGTTCTTAAGTATGTACACCATAATACATAGCCTTTATATTCCTGAACATGGTCTGAAAGGATGCCACAGCTTTCACGCATGGCATGCTCTCTCCCGGCGCCCTCTCCCCCTCCCCTCTGTCCAGTAGGGGATTTATCAACTCTTAAAATCTTTTCAAAGAATTAACTAACTTTGGCTTTGTTCATTTTTTTCCTATTATCTGCATTTATTATTATTATCTTTCTTCTATTTAGTTTCAACTTATTATGCTCTTCTTTTCTGGTTTCTTTAGGTAGAAATATATCACTGATCTTTGGGGAAATTGTTAGTGACAGCTTAATATTTAAGTTAAAACAGACATGTTAGTGTAATAGGAAATTACTTCTTTGTGGGTAAAAAAGTTCAAATATTGACAATTTAATTACATTGAACTAGATGGAAACTGTCAATATTCGACCTTCTTAACTTACAATTTCCTTTAATGTGAATTAATACAAGCCCGTTCTTTTTTTCTTTTTAAGATTTATTTATTTATTTGAAAGGCAGAGTGACAGAGAGGGAGACACATAGTGAGATCTTCACTCTCCAAATGCCCACAAAGCCAGGGCTGGGCTAGGCTGAAGCCAGGAGCCAGGAGCTCCATCTGGGTCTCCCAAGTGTTGTGTGAGGATTAAACGAGGTGATGTTTGTAACATTTAGCAGACTCACCAGCACACGTAGGCCCCCAGTAAAGATTCCTTTTCCCCTCTGAGCTCCTCCCCTCCTGCAGACACATATATCAGGACGGAATGGGTGGTGGGGATATTTGGCGCATCGGGGAGCTGGGGATTCAGCTCCTCAGTGAGGGAGGCCAAGTTGGGGGGGGATGCTACAGAGAGAGGTGGAGACGACCAGGGAAGTCACTTATGAGAGGTCCTCAGATCAGTCCCCAGGAGTAGGGCTCTGAAGCCTGACTTTAAGCCCATACCTTCTCTGTGCCCTTAGCCTGACACAAGCCTGTATGATCACGTCACTGGAAACATGCATCTCATTTCTGAGTTTTCTCCTAAGTCTGCCCCCTTTTTCTTGGCTTCTCAGCCTCTGCCTGTGTCTCAGACCCTGACTGATAAACTGACATGATGTCTCTGTATCCCTGGGTCTCCCCATCCTGTTCCAAAGCTCTCCCCTCGGTCTTTGTGACTCTGCTTACTTGTGACACAGAGGCAGTGAGTCCAAAGCACAGGGAGATGACCAGGGAGAGATGGTGATGGTGACCAGCACACAACATGGAAGGGACGATGGTTCCTACACGACAAATCATCAGAGCAAGGGGCTGCAGCCCAGTTATAGACAGACCCTGCAAGCTGACCAGGCATTCATGATTCTGAGAGGTGGCAAGAGAGTGACTGACAGAACGCAGGCAACCACTGACTCTGTGGTACCGGGGGCTCTGGGATCTGAGGAAGGGAACACTCAATACGGTACTATTTAATTGAAGCCACTGCATGCATGCCAGGCTTGTCTTGGCACTAGGGCCTCAAGAAACACTGTCCTTGCCCTGCAGGACCCACAGCTGGTGTGAAAACAGCCACGTAAACATACAAAGACTGTGGGATACAGCACAGTGACTATTACAGGGAAGGCACCAGTCACATCTTTTCGAGATATTGGTCATAGCCTATTGCTGGCTGACACAGAGCAAGACAGCCACTGCTCTTGGGAGCTCACAGCATCCATCTCTGCATGGATGACACGTTTAAAACAACATGGTAGGAAGTGTAAGGGAGCAAAGTATGAGGCGCTCTGGGAACAGGGCAGGTTGAAGTCCACTCAAGGAGATGGGCAAGACTGTTCGGGGCAGGACATTTAGAATATTTTTGTGGGAATAGAGAAAGGTCCCAGGCACGAGTACAAAGGCACTTAGGTGGGGAAAAGTATGGCTTTTTCAGGGATCACAGAGTTTCATGTGGCTGGTGTACAGAAGGCAGGGCTGTGGTAGAATTGGTCCTGTTATGGGTGATCATGAACAGCACAGGGCAGTACTTGGAAGCCATTATCACGTCACTGCACACACAGGAAAATCACCATGTTCAGATACACATTTGAGGGTAACTGGAGAAGTTGCTTTGCGAACCAATTCAGGAAGTTGAGCTGTGGAGGGGACACATTGAAGAGCTTTCCCAACACGGAGTGACACAATCCGGGGTAACGGAGAGCTCCTTTGGAATTGAAACAGGGAGAGAATGAAGGCAGGATGGCATCAGGAAGGAGACCCTCGCTGCTGTGCAGGCGAGAGGCAACGAGGGCTCATGTAAGGTAACTGTGGCAGAGACACGGTAACACTGTCAGGGCTGGTAACTGGTGGGATGTGGAACACAGAAGGGAAGGGAGAAACATTGTAAGCAAGTGTCAGGTAGCAACACCAAATGAGACAGGGAGCACAGGAGAGGGCCAGAGGGCCTGGGGAGGCAGCCTCAACCAGTCAGCACCCAGGAGGGTGAAGTGGAAAGAGGTTCAAAGGCACAGAGGCAGGCATGCCAGATGTCCCTTCTGGGCTGGGTGGCAGAGGAACAGGCAAGAAGAGCAGCCCTAAGAACAGGAAGCTGGTGCCTCCCTGTCCCAGGCCTCTTGGGTAACTGAGTTCTGACAGACATCTCCTCTCACCTGCCCTGGTCCTGAGAACCAATCCGAATCTGCAGCTCGGCTGTTCTCTCTGAGACGTGCAAGGATCCTCCTGGAGGCTCCTCCAGCTGCTGTGTCTGTCCGTGGCCTCTGTCTGGATCCTCAATGCAGTCTGTCCTCGGCCACTTACCGTCTGGGGGGCTCCTCAGCTGTCCACCCGTTCTTGGCTCTTTCAGAACTCAGTATCTCTCGGAGGCTGAGCCTAAGTGGGTGCTGTGCTACTCCCGGAGGGTGTCCGCCAGTCCCTGCAGCACTGTGATGTGGATCTTCAGGTGCACCATGAGGGCTGAGCTGCGGCTGAAGGCCTTCCCACAGTCCCTGCACTGATACGGCTTCTCTCCCGTGTGGATCCTCTGGTGCTCGATGAGGGAGGAGCTCTGCGCAAAGGCCTTGGGACACACCTTGCACTGATACGGCTTCTCCCCAGAGTGTATTCTCAGGTGTCGAATGAGAGCTGAGCAGTCGCTGAAGGCTCTCCCACACGCGTCACACTTGTAGGGTTTCTCCCCGGTGTGGATGCGCTGGTGCTGGGTCAGGTGGGTGTTCTGGCTGAAGGCCTTTCCACACTCATCACACTCATAGGGCCTCTCCCCCGTGTGCACCCGCTGGTGCTGGGTGAGATGGGTACTGCGGCTGAAGGTTTTGCCACATTCTCCACATCTGTACGGTTTCTCTCCAGTGTGGATCCTCTGGTGCTGGGTCAGGTGGGTGATCCGACTGAAGGCCTTGCCACACTCCTTACACTGGTGGGGCTTCGCCCCCGTGTGGACAACCTGGTGCTGGGCTAAGTGAGTGCTCCGGCCAAAGGCCTTGCCACACTCCCTGCAGGCGTAGGGAGTCTTGCGAGAATGGCTCTTCTCGTGAGCCTCGAGGGCTGAGGCGCTCTGGAAGGTTTTCCTGCACCTGCCACACGGGAAGGATTTCTTCCCTGAGTGTGGGCAGGGAGGCTCTGTCCCACAACCACTCGCCGGACTGGACCTCTGCTCGGAATCAGCTTTCTCTTGGCAGGTGAAAGTGGACCACATGTCGGAACCAGTTCCCGAGGCACCAGATTCATAGACAGGCTGATCTGCAGGGGCATCCTGGCAGGGCCGTGAAGTTCTCCCAAAACCTACTTCTTGAGTGACAGCCTTTGTCCAGATCTCGTTGAAGAGCCCTACCTGCCTCTCTGAGCTGCCCTCAGGCTCACAGGCATCAACAAAGGTAGGTCCCAAGGAAAAACCTCCCATGAGGGTTTCAGCGGCCCCTTCTGATGGTTCTGACTCCTCCACACCTCCCTGCTTGCAGCTTGCCTCCGTAGGCTCCACTCCGGGCTGCCAGCCTGAAACAACCAGAACCACAATGTCACCATTCCTAGCACAGTCGTCCCTGCTTTGCCTGGGCCCCAGCTATGCTCAAAACTGGAGATGCGGTCCTCCCCTTACGCTGGGCCCCATTTCCAGAGGGAAATTCTCCTTTGGTGCCCTGGATAACAAAAGGGTACAGGGCTGATTTCTCACACCATCCAAAACCACACCACGGGTTCTGATTCTTCCAACCCCCACCAAATTCTCCACCCTCTGCGGTTCCCAATTTTGGCTCAAGTGTCAAAAGGGTGTGGGGGGATGTCAAGCATTTGGTACAATGGTTAGGATGCTGCTTGATGTACCTGCATCCCATATTGGGGTGCCTAGTTTGCGTCCTGCCTCTGTTTCTGGTCTAGCTTCCTGGGAGGCAGCAGGTAATTGATCAAGTACTTGTGTCCCTGCCTGCCCTGTGGGAGACCCAGGTGGAGTTCCTGGTTACTGGTTTCAGGCTGGTCCAGCCTGGGCTGTTGTGGGCATTTGGGGAGTGAACTGGAGGGTGGAAGACACCTGTTTCCTCTTCCACTCTCCTTTTCCCTCCCCCTCTCCCCCTGAAAGACACCAGGGGTGAGGAGTTCATCTTTTTAAGCATCTGTTTAGGTGCTACCCCGGGCAGGCCCCACACTCTGTGAGGTCGGCACTGTGTCCTCCACATTCAGAACCTTGCCCCTGGGCCTGGATGGATCTGTGGGAGCTCAGTGAATACTGGCTGAACAAGGGAATCAGTTCATGTCTCCGATTGTGAAATGTTTGCTAGGTAGACAGCTGCTGCTGGGGGTGAGTGGGTGATGTGTCCTCCTGGCTTGAGCTCCAGGAGGCCAAAGGAGCAGCCTTGATGAAGGTCAGTGAAGGTAGCAAGGGGGACCTGGCAATGCTCACAGCATAGATTCTAGGGAGGAGGCTGGAGGGCAGTGTGGCTCAGTGGTGCACAGACCAGGACCGAATCCCAGCTCTGAATCCTTCAGGAATCCTGCCCTCATCTGGGTCTCAGTTTTCCAGTCTGCAAGACAGAGGCACTGTGCTGCTCGCGTCCAGACTGCTGGCCATTATCAGGCTCTTGTTACATGCTAGACGTCCATGGCCTCATTTCAGCTTCTAAAGGCGTTGCAGTAAGCCCACTGCAGATGGGGAAACCGAGGCCTGGCTACATGTTGAGTACCTGGTGCAAGGTCCTGTGATGAGCTCAGAGAGGGTGAGTGACTTGTGCAAGATGGCAGTTGGCTGGTGGTTGTTCAGGCAGAGGGGATGGGATGGTGAGATCTAGACCTGTGCTTTCTGGGAAGAGCAGGAGCTAGGAAGTTTCTGGAGTGCAGAAAGGATCTTCTCCTAGGGTGCTGTGGACCCCTCCTTACCTCTCTTCTCCAGCACTTGAGTCAGATCCTCCACCAGCACAGCAGCTTCCTCTCCACTCGTGGGGCACTGGGCCCCCACCCAGGCCTGGATCTCGGGGGGCAGCGTGCCCAGGAACTGCTCCAGCACCAGCAGCTCCAGCATCTGCTCCTTGGAGTGCGTCTCCGGCTGCAGCCACTGGCGACACAGCTCTCGGAGCCGGGCCAGGGCCTCCTGTGGGCTGGATGCCTCCTCGTAGCGGAAGTGCCGGAAGCGCAGACGTGCAGCCTCAGGGTGGGCAGTGTGGTCAAGGCCGGATTGCTGGCCTGGAGAGAGGCTGGCTTCTTCTTCTTCCACCTTCACTTGAAAGAAGCTGTTCTGTTCCCAGGGCACTGGGCTCAGGGAACTCTTGGGGACAGCCATCTGGCAGCGGCACTCAGAAACAGAAAGGCTGGAACCTTGGAGCAGGGTCTGCAGGAATGTCAGAGCTTCATCATCACACGAACCCAGGGCCCTGCCTATGCCTGCAGAGAGGAGCAGACGTGTGCCTGGGGCCTGTGAGATGGGACGCACTCCCACAGAGGCACAGACGGCCACGCTCAGGTCCGTGCTCAGCGCTATTCTAAATAAACCTTACTTGTTGTATACAAGCTTGCAACCAACTCGGTAGGTAGGAGGTTTCTTCCTGTTATGGATATGAAAACACAGAGAAGCCAAGGATTTGCCCAGAGTCTCTGCTGGAAGACTGGCGGGGGCTGAGCTGCAAACCCAGGCAAATCCACGTCCATTCTGCTTCAGTTACGTCCCTACTGACAAAGCCAAGTCTCTCTCCCTGTCTCATATACTATCCCAGGCAGCCACATGGTCATCCTCTCACTTACCTTCATTATTTTGTAGTGTCTGAGATTGTGATTTATGTAATATCAGCCTTTCCTCTTTTCTAATGCATGTATTTTAGGCTACAAATTTCCTCCAGATTCAGTTTTAGCTGCATATCATATTTGATATATTCTATTCATTTTATTCTTTAAAAAGATGTATTCATTTATTTGAAAGGCAGAGTTACAGGGAGGCAGAGGCAGAGAGAGAGAGAGAGAAAGGTTTTCTATTGGCTGGTTCACTCCCCAGACGACCATGACAGCCGGAGCTGTGCCCTGGCTGTTGTGGCCATTTGGGGAGTGAATCAGTGATGGAAGATTCTCTCTCTCTCTCTCTCTCTCTTTCTGCCATTCAAATAAATAATCTTTATATAAAAAAAGAAAGGGAAATGGGAGAGTAGGAAAAATATTTACAAATCATATATTTGAAAAGGACCTCTATTTAAAACAACTCCATAAAAATGATGAATAATCCAAATTTAAATAAGCTAGAGATTTGACCAGATATTTTTTCTAAAAAGATATAGAAATGACCAATAAACACATGAAAAGATGCTCAACATAATTAGCTTCCAGGGAATTCTAAATCAAAATCACAAGGAGACACCACTTTATACCTTCTGGGATAGGTATAATAAGAAAGACAGATAACAGTGTTGGCAGAAATGTAGAGAAATTGGAACCCTCATATAATGCTGGTAAGAATGTAAGATAGTACAGCCAGTGTGGAAACGTTCTAATAGATCCTTGAAGGGCTAAGTATACAGTTACCACATAACTCACAAATTCCCCTTCTAGGTACATATTCAAGGGAAATGAAAATATATGTTCTTGGGGCCAGCACTGTGGCGTAGCGGGTAAAGCTGCCGCCTGCAGTGCCAGCATCCCATATGGGCACCAGTTCCAGTCTCGGCTGCTCCACTTCTGATCCAGCTCTCTGCTATGGCCTGGGAAAGCAGTAGAAGATGGCTCAAGTCCCTGGGCCCCTGCGCTCGTGTGGGAGACCCGGAAGAAGCTCCTGGCTTCGGATTGGCACAGCTCCAGCTGTTGTGGTCAATTGGGGAGTGAACCAGCAGATGGAAGACCTCTCTCTCTGCCTCTCTTTCTCTTTCCATGTAACTCTTTCAAATAAATAAATCTTTAAAAATAAAAAAGAAAATATATGTTCTCACAAGAACTTGTACACAGGGCTGGTGCTGTGGCACAGGGGTTAGGGCACCACCTGCAGCATCAGCATGCCATATTGGTGCTGGTTAAGTGCTGGCTGATCTGACCCAGCTCTCTGCTATGACCTGGGAAAGCAGCAGAGGATGGCCCAAGCGCTTGGGTCCCTGCACCCATGTGGGAGACCTGGAAGAAGCTCCTGGTTCCTGGCTTCAGATCAGTCTAGCTCCAGCCATTGCAACCATCTGAGCCATCTGGGGACTGAACCAGTGGATAGAAGATCTCTCTCTATGTATATCTCTCTGTAACTCTGCCTTTCAAATTAATTTAAAAACTTAAAAAGAAAGACCTTGTACACAAATGTTCGCAGAAGTATTAGTCATAACAGCCAAAAAATAGAAGCAATCCAAACAGCCATCAACTGATAGACAAAATTCTGTATATTATATATATTGTATCATATATAAACCATATACATTATTCATCCTAATGAATCAATTCATGATACAATCTGGATGAACCTTGAAAACATTATACTGAGCAAAAGAAGCCAGATGGAAAAGACCACATATTGATAGGACATGTCCAGAACTGGCAACTTCAGAAATAAAAAGCAGATTAATGACTCCCGGGAGCTCTGAGTGGAGGGGAGTGGGGAGTGGCTTCTTCTTTCTTTTAAACATTTATTTATTTTATTTTATTTGAAAGGCAGAGTTACAGAGAGGCCGAGAGAGAGAGAGAGAGAGAGAGAGAGAGAGAGAGTCTTCCATCCACTGTGAGGATGGATTTCATTTTGGGATGATGAAAATGTTCTGGGATTAGATAGAGGCGATGGCTGTACAACTCTGTGAAAATACTAAAAGCCGAGCCAGCCTTCTGGTGCAGAGGGTTAAGCTGCTGCCTGTGATGCTGGCGTTCCGTATCAGAGTGCCAGTCCAAGTCCCAGATGCTCTGCTCCCTGCCAGGAGAGCGGCAGATGCACCTGCGCCCCTGCCACGTGGGAAATCTGCATGGAGTCCCTGGCTCCTGCCATTGCAGCCATCTGCGAACTGAACCAGTGCATGGAAGCCCTCTCTCTGTCTCTCCCCTCTGTCACTCTGCCTTTCAAATAAAATACATTTTTTAAAAAATTTTTTGACAGGCAGAGTAGACAGTGAGGGAGAGAGACAGAGAGAAAGGTCTTCCTTTTGCCGTTGGTTCACCCTCCAATGGCTGCCGCGGCTGGTGCGCTGCGGCCGGCACACCGCACTGATCCGATGGCAGGAGCCAGGTACTTCTCCTGGTCTCCCATGGGGTGCAGGGCCCAAGCACTTGGGCCATCCTCCACTGCACTCCCTGGCCACAGCAGAGAGCTGGCATGGAAGAGGGGCAACCGGGACAGAATTTGGCGCCCCGATCGGGACTAGAACCTGGTGTGCCAGCGCCGCAAGGCGGAGGATTAGCCTAGTGAGCTGCTGCGCCGGCCAAATAAAATACATTTTTTTAAAAAACAATGTGCAGGGCGCCGGCACACCGGGTTCTAGTCCCGGTCGGGGCGCCGGATTCTGTCCCGGTTGCCCCTCTTCCAGGCCAGCCCTCTGCTGTGGCCAGGGAGTGCAGTGGAGGATGGCCCAGGTGCTTGGGCCCTGCACCCCATGGGAGACCAGGAAAAGCACCTGGCTCCTGGCTCCTGCCATCGGATCAGCGCGGTGCGCCGGCCGCAGCGCGCTGGCCGCGGCGGCCATTGGAGGGTGAACCAACGGCAAAAGGAAGACCTTTCTCTCTGTCTCTCTCTCTCTCTCACTGTCCACTCTGCCTGTCAAAAAAAAAAAAAAAAAACAAACAAACAAAAAAAAACAATGTGCAGGGCTGGATCTGTGGCACATCGGGTTTACACCCTGGCCTGAAGTGCCAGCATCCCATAAAGGGGCCGATTCAAGACCCAGCAGCTCCACTTCCAGTCCAGCTCTCTGCTATGGCCTGGGAAAGCAGTGGAGGATGGCCCAAGTCCTTGGGCCCCTGCACCTACGTGGGAGACCCGGAAGAAGTTCCTGGCTCCTGGCTTCAGATCGGCGCAGCTCCAGCCATTACAGACAATTGGGGAGTGAACCATTGGATGGAAGACCTCCCCCCCCCACCTCTCCTCTCTCTGTGTGACTCTTTCAAATAAATAAATCTTTAAAAAATGTGCTAAAAACCACTGAACTGTACTCTTAAAAATTATTTCATGGTATGTGAATCAATTCTGAATAAAGCTGTTTTAAAAACTAATGTGTATTTTGTCACTGCTGTATATTGTATATATGTATGTATATATATGTATATATATACGCTGTATATTGTCTCCCTTAGTTTTTTTTTTTTAACATTATTCTTCACCACTTGTGTGATACACTTACATGATTACTTGTTTATTACTACTCACCCATAGAGTGTCAGTGCCTTAAGGGCAAGGGCAGGAGATTTTACTTTTATTTATTTATTTATTTTAAAAAGATTTATTTATTTGAAAGGCAGAGAGAGGAGAGAGAGAGAGAGAGAGAGATGGAGAGAAATCTTCCATTTGTTGGTTCACTCCTCAAATGGCCACAACAGTTGGAGCTGGGCCAGTCCAAAGCTAGGAGTCAGGAGCCAGGAGCCCCCTCTGGGTCTCTTTTGTGGGTACAGGGGCCCAAGCACTTGGGCCATCTTCCACTGCTGTCCCAGGCCATAACAGAGAGCTGGATTGGAAGTGGAGCAGACAGGACTTGGATCAGCGGCCATATGGGATACTGGTGTCACAGGTGGAGACTTAAGCTACTATGCCACAGCACCGGCCACTAAGATTTGTTCTATTTATTTGAAAGGCAGAGTTACAGAGAAAGAGAGATACATAGAGATTTCCCATTTGTTGGTTCACTCCTCAAATGGCTGCAAATGTCGGAGCTGGGCCAGGCCAAAACCAGGATCCAGGAGCTTCTTCTGGGTCTCCCACATGGGTTCAGGGTCCCAGTGATGTGGACCATTTGCTGCTGCTTCCTGAGGCACATTAGCAGGGAGCTGGATCAGAAGGGGAGCAGCTGGGACTTGAACCAGCACCCATATAGGATGCCAGCATTGCAGGAGGCGGCTTAACCCATTATGCCACAATGCTGGTCCTGGTGAAGTTCCTACTTTTTCCGCATTCTCACCAAAGTCTTTTAAAATACCACTTTTCATGCTCTATTTTTCACAGTGAACTCTTTATAGTCAGGAAAAGAACACCCGATGGAATGTAACCTCTCCCAGGAGATCCCAGCGCTTGGCTTTGGCCACACACTTTCCCATACTCAAGGACCAAGTTTTCTCTTTCTTATCCATGACTTCCACAGGCCTAAGTGCTTTCTGCTCTTTTCCCTCACTTTGTGTCAGTATAGACATTTATTCTGCTTGGAGTTCCTGCTCAGGGAGCTTACCCTGGACAGGAAGGCAGGAAGCCTGAGAAAGAGACACTGTTTTGGGCACAGAGAGAAGGGAATATTAGTAACACAAGACGTCAATCCTGAAACCTTTTAGTGACAACGCAAACCTGTGGTGAAGAGGGGTTCTAGCCCCTTTTGTCTGCTGTAAAGTTCATTTGGCTTTTGTTGTGTT